CCCTAAAGTTCATTTTTTTTTTTGCCTTTGATTTTAAAAAAATAAAACAATGGTTTTGGCTATAGTTCATTTTACGTAATGGTTAATGTAATATAGTTTTTTTTTATGTAATATGCTTAATGAATTTTTATTAGTAACAACTTCTTTAATTTATTCAGGTCCTCTAAAATTTGAAAGTCTGTGATTCAAACTTTTGCTTTTCCCAAAAAAAAGTTAAAGAAAATATATGAAGTCAATGATAAATCTTAAAGTTTTAAAAAGATTAATATAAGTAATATTTTTTCTTGTAATAACTATCTTGGAAGTTATCTAACTATTGAGACCTTCTTTCTTTATAACTTAATTTTTAAATACTCCGCAATACTTAAAATAGGTTCCTAGTCAAGAAAAAAAATAACATTTAAGAATTTCCTTTCTATATATATATATATATATATATATATATATATATATATATATATATATATATATATATATATATATATATATATAATATATATATATATATATGTATATATATATATATATGTATATGTATATATATATATATATATATATATATATATATATATATATATATATATATATATATATATATTTATATATATATATATATATTTATATATATATATATATATATATATATATATATATATATATATATATATATAAATATATATATATATATATATATATATATATATATATATATATATATATATATATATATATATATATATATATATTGAGTTTTGTCCTTGCTGTACAACAATATATATATATATATATATATATATATATACACTCTTCTTCATATCCTGTAACTTCAGGGGTTACTCAAGGTTTAATCCTTGACCCTATACTCTTTTTAATTTACATTAACGATCTTCCAGATATTCTTACATCTAAGGTGCCATTGTTTGCTGACGACACTACCATTTATTCTTGTAATGATAAGAAGCCTACACTCTCTGATTGGAGGGGGTATATGAGCTTGAAAAAGATCTCACCTCTGCTCCAGCATGGGGCTTACAATGGCTGGTGAACTTTATTTCAGATAAAACTCAATTTTTTTGGCCAATTGTTATTGCAATAGTTTAGATCTTCCTATATTTATGAATGATAATGTACTAGATGAGTCATCTACCCTTCATCTTCTAGGATTAACTTTTACTTCTGATCTTCTTTTTGAACCGTATACCAAATCTATTGCAAAATTAGCGTCTGCTAAGGCTGCATCTCTTTATGGAGCTCGACTTGTCATTCAATCAAGTCTCATCCTTTTTCTGTGACTGTTCCTAAGTGCTCTGAAAATTCTTATTCCTCTAGTTTTTTTCTTTGAACATCAGTTCTTTGGAATTCACTTCCTTCATCTTGCTTTCCAGATTCATATAATTTGTAATCTTTTAAGTCATCTGTCAATAATTTTCTTGCTCTATGAATTCTATCTTTTCTCTTCCAGTAACTTCCAAACTATTATAGCGGTTGCTGGCAGCCTTGTTGGAAGCGAAGATGTAATATATATATATATATATATATATATATGTATATATATATATATATATATATATATATATATATATATATATAAATTTTAATAGCATATTATTTTTTAATTAACTAATATATAGTTAATTATTACATTCATTTATTTACTTATCTTAAGAATAATGAAATATAAAAAAGGTTTAAAATTGAGAATAGTTTTGATCTTTTCTAGTGTGATTCTATCGCCAAGTTTCTTGAATGTGATCAATCATTTCTTGATACAAATGTTGCAAAAAGTCATATATTTTTTATTATGGTTGAATGTTTAGTTTTCTTTTTAAGGGTAAATTACTATCATAAATTACATAAAAAATTTTGATCTGTAATTATATACATAATGCTCACTTTACAAATAAACATAATTTACACAAAATTTTTGAATTGATTAAAACACTAATGTATTGCTTCTATGCCCAATATAACTTACACTAAATTGTCTCATTCATATACACTAGTGTTATCTTTTGAATTTAGAAATAAAAGTTATTAAATGTTGGTGGCTCATCATGCAGTGCATATAAGAAGGGCATGCTTTCAAAGTAAGTATAATTTTACTATAAATAGAGCATTTTTAATACCGCAATTATATTGCATACTTGATATACATAAATATATACGCTGGTCACAACAATCCAGTCAAAAATTTCTTTAAAAAAATCAATTTAGAGTTGAGAAATTCGTATTTTTTGATGTTTCATGTTATGTTTGTAAAATAATAATTATATATATGTGTGTGTGTGTGCGTGCGTGTGTGTGATTTCTTTCTAACCCCTTTATTTTTACATACTTATCTTGACAATATTTTTTTAGGGTTAAGACTGCTCCCCTGATTCCTACAGCAAAAAAACAACTTTAAAATGCTGGTGATGATATTTTAAAGAGTGCACCTGATCGAAAAGAAGGTGAATGGCGTCAACTGTTCGAACATTCGATTCTTGGAAATTAACAAGTGGAAGAAGTTTATAAAATTGTAATTTATAAAACTCATCACAATTATATTATTAAAAAAATTTAAATGATTTATTATTGTTTTCTTATTCTCAAGAAGTTCTGTAAAAACATAAATTTGAACCTTACGTTTAAGTAAAGCCATGTAAAAACACGTATTTTAGACGTCGAAATGAGAACGTCTAAATTAGGTTATTTAAAGACGTTTAATAAATAACGTTATAATGCATGATTACGAATTAAGCTATGACGAATTTGAGGCAGCTTTGCCTCTTTAAAAAAAAAAGAAGCACCAGGATTTGATGAGATACCTAGTGATATAATTATTGCAAGCAAACACAGTCTTAATAGACCTCTGTTACATATACTAAAGCTCTCGTTAAATTCTTGGAATTTTACGGATGTACTTAAATTAGCAGAAGTAACTCCTTTATACAAATGTAATGATCATTCTGACATTACAAACTACAGACCCATATCAATACTTTCTGTATTTTCAAAACTCTTCGAACGTGTAGTTTATAATAGAATCTATGATTACTTTATTAAAAACAATTTTTTTTACCCAAATCAGTTTGGCTTTCAAAAAAATCTTTTAACTGAGCATGCAAATATTGAAATAGTAAATCAAATAACTAATGGTTTTGAAAATAATCAGCTTACTTTAGGAGTATTTCTTGATTTATCAAAAGCATTTGATACAGTGGATCAGTGCATTCTCTTAGATAAAATAAGACATTACGGAATAGTTAATAAAACCTATTATTGGATTAAAAGCTATCTTACCAACAGAAATTAATATGTGCATAATGTCCACTCTGGAGTATTAAATGTTTTGTGTGGAGTCCCGCAGGGATCAATTCTTGGTCCACTCCTTTTTCTTATATATATAAATGACTTCTGTAATGCGTCCTTTAAACTGAATTCAGTCATGTTTGCAGATGACACGAATCTATTTCTTACCAACAATGATATCAAAACATTATATGCTGACATGAATATAGAACTAGTTAAAGTAAACAACTGGTTTAAAGCTAACAAACTCTCGCTTAATGCTGAGAAAACAAATTATATACTATTCCATAAAAAAATACTAGAGGAAAATCTTCCTCTAAAATTGCCTAAACTATTCCTAAATGATAAACGAATTAAAAAGCAATCCAATATAAAGTTCTTAGGAATCATTGTTGATGAAAATTTATCCTGGGTTCCTCATATAATATACATACAGTCAAAAATCACTAAAATCATAGGTTTGATGTATCGACGTCGCGATCTTTTTTTCCGTAAACGGTGGCTCCCAATTTAATTGGTGGCTCCCATTTTCGGTAAAAGTAAATTTCAAACCAACTAAAAATTATGAATAAACGTTTAGATGAGGAACGGTGAAAAACCGTGAATACACGTGCGTTTTAACGAGAGTTATGTTTTCTGAAAATATGAGTTTTTTCAAATTGATTATTTAAATGTTTTTATTTTAAAACATTAACTATACTTTAAGTAAAATGAACTGTTAGAAGAAATTTGGCTGAGTTTAATTTTATTGGTTAAAAAGCAGTTAATATTAGGTACTTTATATGCATTTTTTTTTTTATAACTGATATAAATTATATCAGTTATAAATGTTTTGATATCATTGTTGGTGTCGAAGTCGGTGTGGTAAGAATGTATTTATTTGTCTTTTTTAAAAAATTTTATATCAACTCAGACTTTATTAAAAAAGTCGAATGTTTAATGTTGAATAAATTATGTGTTTTTTTTATGGTTAATAAATTTTTCAGTTATTTTATTGCTATTTAAAATTTCGTTCCTTTTCTGGAAGTGCATTCATATGGAAGGCATGTAGGTACATTTTTGAAATTTTCTAGTTAACTGTATAAATCCATTTTCTATGTGCCTGCAAAATATAATTTAAAAATATTCATGACCACATAACGTAGTTTTCGATCCAGTGGAGGTTCAATTTCCACCCTTTTTACTGTTACTGTTACTGTTACACTTTATTAAACTGTTTCTGCTACTGTTACTGTTACTTCTTGTTATAAATTCTGTTTTTTTTTTACAATTACCAGTGATTTTTATTCATTTTTAAAATTTTATTTCTGTTCCGGAGGTGCATTAATATTGAAGGCATGTTGGTACATTTTTGAAATTTTCTAGTCAACTGTATAAATCTATTTTCTATGTGCCTGCCAAATTTCATTAAAAAATATTTATGACCAGAAACCCTATTTTATCGTGCAGTGGAGGTATGTATTTCCACTTCCGTTACATAGTTTAAGGCGGGGGGGGGGGGGCAATTCGCCGGTGTTAGCCAGTGAGCATTCAGTATACTTGTTTTTCTATTCATAATAATGAAATATTTTATAAGAACTTTCATTAAAAAGTTTTACTTTTTTAAAATAGTCATTTATTACTAACAATACTGTTGATTTTTTTTTAATAATTGTATAATCATTTATTGTGTTATTTTTGTATATATTTCTTATTGCTTACTCTTTTCACACATCAAAATCAGTTTCAAGGCTGCCTTGAAACTAATTTCGGTGTGTGAAAAGAGTAAGTAATTTAAATTATCTTTGGCAGAACTTTGCCTTAAAAGCAAAGTTCTCCTAAAGGTAATAATGAAATAAAAATTAAATGACACTTTTATATGGGGACTCAGCATTTTCTAAGCTTTTTTCCATACCCAGAATTTACTATATAACCACCTTAAGCTCTATGATACATAAAAATTATATACATGCTTTATCTATGCGAATAATAATAAATGTATCTACACATTTTTTTATAGGTTAACAGTAATTTTTTAAATTAGTTAGTTGTGTTTAAAAGCCAACCCAATTAAATAGTTGTATTATGATTGTTTGATTTAGTGCATCGTGGGACCTAAAAAGGAAACATTTCTACTTGATGGTAAAGCTAAAAGTTAGTTAACTTGTAGTTTTCACTACTAGCTCATTTAAATATTGGTTGTAGCAACAGACGCCTACTGCATATATTGGCAACTAACAAGGATTCATATAAAGTAACTGTAGAAGTAATCAATAAGTATTTTAACATCAAAGTTTGTACTAATTAGATTCTGCAACTAGTTAAAACATCAAAAAACTTTGTAAACCATTTTTCACGAGATTCAAAACAATTTATTGACATCTGCAACATGCTCTGTGCATACCAAATAATGACATCTGCTATGGCACAAACATCGCAATCAATTGCAACCTCAATTCACATTGCTATATGTTCTTCATTTCCCTTTCAACAAATCAGTGTTTTATCTGTATCAAACAGTGGTCACTTATCTCTTTTATCTGGTCCTGCTATAGAAACCTCTTCTCATGAACCACTATCCAGTTAGAGAGCTGACTAGTTAAGTCCCTGAAAAAGATTATGAGAAAGAGATTTTTGTTTGAAACAGCAGTTAACATTAATCGAAACCAAGTTTTCTTATCAAAAGACAATTTTATACCAACAACTTGCTGAAAAAAATTATGCAATTCTTGTACTGCAAAATGACATTGATACTGATTTTACAGGAAGAGTTGGAGGAAATTCAGCAAGTAACACAAAACACCAAAACTCAAAAACACTACTCAGCAGATATTAGAACACTTATATACGACATGCTTGTGTGTTAAGTTCCTGGTTTCATTCACTACACAATTCATTTTCTACACGATTCTGCAATACAAACTTCGCTACAAGGATGCAAAAGGTATTTATAATTCTTTTACTTTAATATAGTGTAGGTTTGTGAATAAAATTGTTTTTAATTGAGTTAAACTAAAATAAATATTATAATTATTGCATGTTTTTATTTCACATTCTCCTTGCAATAGCCAACTAACTTTCTTTATGTAATTCATAAGTGATCCAAAGGGTTTTGGGTTCTTTTTGGACCAACACGAGTTGCCCAGAAGATTGCTACCATGCTATAGAGGGAACAGAATACATATGCTTTTTCACACATGTGGTACTTTGATCTATAATTATTCCATATTGAAAATATTTTTGTGTTCTGGCTTGACATTATGTGAATGTCTGCAAAATGGTTTGTTTCAAGACTTTACATCTGAAACAGGTATCTTTTTCTTTTTTGTACAGTATTGAAGGATCAACTTTTAATGTTTTTTTTCTGTTTTGTAATAGTAAAATGTGTTGTGTATCAAGAGTTAGGTGATTTTGTTTTTTGTTTTTATATAGGAAATCATTCTCCTCTTCTCTATTTTGTAATGGGTTTTTCAGTTATTGTGTTAAATATCTAATGTATTTTTATTTATCTGTTATTGCAAGGTTTTAACTAATAGCATTCTAAAAGATTGCAATTTGCTACTGTCTTAAAGTCCTCAAGATTATATTTAATAATTCAGTAAGATGTTATTATAGTTAGATATTAATTTATTTTGCAGTAATTAACAGTTAAATGTTAATTTATTATACAGTAATTGCTTGTAAGTCTTGATATTTTTAATTTTTTTTTTTAATTTTATATATCTTATATATATTTTATCTTATCTATAATTGCAAGGTTACACAACATGATGAGTACTACACGCTTGCTTTGAGGTTTGTTGATCTTCTTCATTTCAATATTAAATCGGTTAGATCATATTTATTTAGAGATTGATTATGTTTGTTAATGTGTTTTTCAGTTATTGTGCTAAATATCTAATGTATTTTTATTTTTCTGTGATAACAGAAAAATAAAAATACATTAGATATTTAGCATGTTGTATATTTATTTATTATCCGGGACACAGGGTATCCTAATTAAATAGGTATGGCTGTATTAATTGAGAGGTTTGTTTGATTTTAGATATCATTATATGTGGTTTTCATCGCGTACTAAAGATTCGACTCTTTCTATGGATGTCACAGTTTTATTTATTTCAAAAACTAGGCTTTCTTCAAAGCCACAATTCTGTTAAAAACATTACTAAGCAAATAAAATAACACTTACAGTGTAAATTTATTGTTAAAGAAGTATGTTTAAAAAAAAATATTTGTATTTTTTGCAGTTTGTTGGAATTTATATATTGTTAGATAGATAGATATGTATATGGGCCCACGGAAGGAAACAAAAAGGGGAGCCGTGGTGGGCATGACCTTCCTTCCCCCCTAATTGTTTAGTAGTATCCTTTTTTAAGAAGGTTTTTAGTTGAAAAATATTTCAACTATTATTATGTATATTATGATTTTTTTTTTTTTTTTGGTGCTTTGGCCCCTACTAAAATATCACGCTTTTGCCTATGATATATATTTATATATATATATATCTTTATATAATGGCATAATAAATTTCCATTAACTTTTATTAAATCTAAACTTTTGTCCAAAGTAATTGAAATTCATTAGTAACGATAAAAATAAGGCTAAATAAAGGGCGGAAAGGCTATGAATGTCTTTAAAGTTCAACTATACGCTATAGAAAACTTAGACTTGATACATATTTAATAACAAATATATATACATATTTTATAAATATATATATATATATATATATATATATATATATATATATATATATATATATATATATATATATATATATATATATATATATATATATATATGTATATATAATATTGTAAATACGCGATTTTTTTTTTTTTTATATACATATATGGAACTTTTTATAAATTTTATTATTAGGTTTTAAGGATTAAAAATATTTTGTTATTTTCGAGATTTTTTTAATAACGTTATTAAATCGTTTTGCACATTTCACTAAAGCAAAACTATGCGCAAATTAACAGTGAAGTTTAATTACTAAGCTACCGTGAGTTTTATTCGATGGTTGCATTTTTCTTAAGCAATGCTTCATAAGAAATAATGTTACTTAAATGGTCATAACTTTTTTTGTAATTATTCTTTTTTCATAAAATTTTCGCCGTTAGATTACAAATTCAAAGCTCTTTCGTACCATGTATAATACTTATATAAACAAATGGTTTGAAGTTTTTACACACGTACCTATATAGAATAGAATATAATCAGTAGTTTATTTAATGTAATAGTTTACTTGTTTTAATGTGATTAAATTTACTTGTTATAGAAAAGATTTTTATATATACTTTAGTTTTGATATTTTATATCATAATTTTTTAATTTTATTATAAATTTTTGTTATAACTTTATAATATTTTATATCTCTGTGGCTTCTTCTTCCCTATCGCTTGATCCAATCGTATCCCCAAGATACTCATAAAAATGTTACAGAAAAACAAACTATAGAGTTTGTTTTATTTTTTTCCTACACACTCTACATGACCGCTTTCTAGATTTTTCTGCTTGTTTATTCTTATCTTTTACAATGTGTAAAGAATAACCATATTAATTATGTTGGCTCAAAAGAGCTATAATTATACTAGTCTATAACAAAATAACACAATACATAAAGTATATAGAATATCATATAAAACATATATATTTATATATATTCTCCATATTTCATATTATCATAACATTCACCCTCCTCTTAAAAGTGTTCAGGTGTATTTATAAGTTGAGTTTTTCTGGTGCTTTAGAAATTCGTGAAGATCTACGAGGAGGCAGAGTACTTTGCTCTATAGGTTTCCCTCTGCTTCCTAGTTCCTCTTCGGAGACTAACAGAGTTTCATTGCTACCATTAGGGGTTAAGGGGTAGTTATCAATAGCTGTTATTTCTAAATTGTCATTTGATGTTTGTACTATAGGAGTTGTTCCGATAGGAGCCAGTTGTTTTGTAGACACTGTAGTCTCATGACCATTAGGAAATCTCACAATGGCATAATGAGGATTTGCTTCAATGAACTGAGCCTCATTTACTGAATCTTCATATTTACTTTGCATTGCATTTCTTTTTATAAGTATAGGTCCAGGGTTAACAAGCCATGAAGGAATTGAAGACCCAGATGATGGTCTTCTTTGAAAATTAAAAAAACGTTCATGTGGACTACAATTAGTAGAAGTACATAATAGAGATCTTGTAGCATGAAGTGCATCAGGCAAAACTCTTTTCCATGATGATATAGGCAGATTTCGAGATTTCAGAGTAAGTAATATCGCCTTCCAAATAATTCCATTGTATCTTTTAACTTGCCCATTTCCAGTCGGATTGTAAGGGGTTGTTCTACTAGTTGGATCCCTTTTAATAAGAAGCAGTGCTTTAATTTAGAAGACATTAATGAGGATCCACGATCCGAATGAACATAGCTAGGCATACCAAACATTGAAAAAAGATCAGCTAAACAGTTTATTATTGTCTGAGTTGTCATATCTTTCACAGGATAAGCAAATGGAAAATGTGAGTATTCGTCTACAATTGTTAGCATATACTGTTCAGGGGTTGAAGAAGGTAATGGTAATCAAAAGAGCTAGAATATTATTATGAAATAAAAGAAAGATGGATCGATTCATGAAACCTGACAAACTTGGTATAGATCCAAACTCAGCAGATGCAGCAAAAACATACAACCATTGGTTAAGAACATTTAACAATTTTGTAAGTACAGTAGATAATAACTTCATTAAGCTTAATCTCCTAATAAACCATATTGAACCTAATGTATATGAATTCATATCAGAATGTGATGATTTTGAACAAGCAACAAGTATTCTCGAGTCTATCTACATAAAACCAAAGAATGGAATATTTGCCAGACATATTTTGTCAACACGGAAGCAAAAACCAAGAAACAATAGATCAATTCCTCAATGAACTTAAAAATTTATCTAAGGACTGTAAGTTCACTGCTGTTACAGCTGAGCAATATAAATCTGAAATGATTCGCGATGCGTTTATAAATGGCTTACTCTCCAATAGTATACGCCAATGTTTACTAGAAAACAAAATATTAGACCTTTCATCAGCCTTTGACCAAGCTAGATTTTTAGACGTGGCCCAACAAAACTCAAACTTATACTCACAATTGACTATATCTTCCTCTGCCTCTATTCAGGAAATCAAATCACCTTTACAAAAACAGTCCATGACTGATAATCACTTAGCTGCTACAGCAAAATCAAAACAATTGTGCTGGTTTTGTGGAAACATAAGACATCCACGTACTAAATGTCCTGCTCGCAAAGCTATCTGTCACAAATGTAAAAAGATTGGTCATTTTGAAAAACTTTGCAGATCATCTAATGTTTCTGCTGCTATTCCTAAAATTGACGATGATTACTTCTGTGCCACCATATCAGCTTCAGCAAACTCTCTATTCAGAGTTTGTCATAACATCATTATTAATGATAGATATAAAGCAGAAGCATTAATTGATAGTGGAAGTACAAACAAAAGTTTTATAAGCAACAAACTAGTGACCCTACTCCATTTAAATATTATTTATGAACAGAGTGTAATTGGAATGGCATCAGCTGCCTTATCTGCAAAATCAGATGGATATTGTTATGTCTCAATAGCTCTTTTGATTGTAAAGAATAACCATATTAATTATGTTGGCTCAAAAGAGCTATAATTATACTAGTCTATAACAAAATAACACAATACATAAAGTATATAGAATATCATACAAAACATATATTTATATATATTCTCCATATTTCATATTATCATAACACAATGCAAACTTTTTTGCACTATTCATGTTTATCTTTTACCTTTATATCGAACTTTACTTCAAAACTATAACTCAATCTTTTTTTGTTTTTATTGATTTCATCTTTATACTTTGCTGCTCAACTTAAGTTGTATTATTAACATTTCATTATTTTATTTCATGAAAACAAGATTTTCAATTATATCTAAGTATTTAAGTCAAATGGCAATGGAATTAAAATTTTTATATAACTAATAAAAAAAAAATCACATCATCAGGGTTGCCACTCAATCTGGAAAACCTGGAATACCTGGAAAGAGCATAAATTCCAGGGAAAACCTGGAAAACTCAGGAATTTTTAAAATTTTAATAAATTTCAGGGAAAACTCAGAAAATTTTTTTTTTTTTAAATTTTGTACAATAATTTTTTTTTTCAAAAATATTTTGCTATACATTTTATTGGCAAAATATTTTTGAAAAAAAAAATTATTGTACCAAATTTCAAAAAAAAAATATTTTTCCTGAGTTTTCCCTAAAATTTATGAAAATTTTAACTTATTTTTATATGTAACATTTTATATGTAGCTTATTTTTATATGTAACATAAAAATAAGTTTGCAAGATGTTGATATTTTTGTAAAAGTTTTAGTTTGCCAAATATAAAGGCTGTGTTTAATTAAGAAAAATAATAATCTTGTTGATGAACAGAAAAGAATATAGAAAACTCAGGGAAAACTCAGGGAACTTAAAGAGTTCAACTCAGGGGAAAATGTTCTTTACTCAGGGAAAACTCAGGGAAAAACTTTGAAAATTATAGTGGCAACCCTGTATCATAGATTTTGCATTCTTGATTTACAAAAAAAAAGTATAAGGAATGTTGGCAAGTAAAATATTTCTATTAATATGGATTCAAAAAAAGGCAAATAAGATATCTCAACTTGTTGTATTTATACTATAACTTCTCCTTTTTTTTTTACTTTCTAAATATGGTTGTTTTTTGGTTCATGCAGTAATTCTACTCACACTATTCAGGTTGTCAATACTATATGAGGTAAGTATGTCTTTTTAAAGACATTACAATAATTTTTAGCAAATTATATTATGCAGCAGTTAAACTTAATGAGCTAACAATTTTCTTATTATATTGAGATTTGCATACAACTTAATTTGCTTTGTCTTTAGTGTTGCTGTAAAAAAATAATAATTTAGATTTAGTTCATTGTTTAACTTTTTAAAACTGCTGCAACCAAAGTCAGAAAAAAAAAACAGTATTCTTTTATACTCATGAAATTCATTTCGTTTTTTAAAAAAATATATAAAAAGGTTTAGGTTAAGGTTATATGGTAAACTAAATGCTTTTAGGTAACCCTACCCTTACCTGTGTATATACTTAATGGATGCTTTGTTTATGTATAAGGAAATATGAAAAACAGTCTAGTTGGATATAAGATATAAAAAAAATGCAAAAAGTGTCAGTCTAAACAAATTTTTTTATATAATAGATAGTATATATTTATTTAGTTGGCAAGAATGCATTTTACACAGAGAAATATTATTTATGATTCAGGGTTTTTAATATAAATTAGACTCCTATACATTACATGATTTGATATTTGTTATTTGGATTACAATAGCTCTTACTCTTATTTGTAATTTTTCTCGTTTTTTATCTCAGCCAGCCAGTAGAGTTTATTTAAATAAGAAAACAGATAGATAAAATTTAAAAAAAAAGCAACAGTTAAATAAAATTTATCTTAATGTACCATAAAAGCTTATTATTATTGTCCATCAACTTTATCCGCCTATAATGAATAGCCTATGAATATTAATAGTGCGCATAGTTACGCATTGTTACGCCTATTGTTCGTTTTGTTAATTACGGTTCTGCATTATGTAAAATATACTATTTCTGTGCCTCTAGAATTTTCTAAGCGCAGTTACATATTCCATGCGGTCATTCGAGTAAAATCAGCAATCAAATTGGAGCTGATACATTTATCCTTCGGGTCGGAGCTACGTCACAAATATCGGAAAATAAGTCTACCATTATGGATTAGGGAAAACAAATAATTTTATCAAGTCGGGAATTTTGAGGAATTATTCATTTACATGAATAATCCTCAAAGTTGCTGTGTTTTCTTGTTTCAAATAATAATATTTCACAGAGTTAAATTTTTTAGATACTTCTATATGAAGGTATTAGAAGTTAAAGGTAATAAATCGTGCGCATGTTGACAAATATGGAGTAGTTTAACTAATATCTTCATATGGAACATAGTTCTTTAGTTACTTAACAAGTTAGGTTTATACAACATAGTTTAATGATTTAAATTTTATACTTTTTCCTCTACACACTAAACATTTATACACACTAGACATTTATACTCTAATACACTCCACAATTATACAACATAGTTTAATGATTGTTAAGTGTATATTTTTTTCACTACACATACTTTATAGTTTTTTGGTCACTAAATAAAAAAATAAAGAAAAGAACAGATAAAATCTACATAAAAGTTATATAAAAAATATATGAACTATTATATATTGCTGTTAATAATAACAACAATATGTAACAGTTATATAACAGTATATCATAATAATATATTATTATGATATACTGTATTTAATTTGCTTTACTAAATTAAAGTTGTAATTATATTAAAACTATTTAAATACAAGGATTTTATGTTAAATTGTATAAAATTAGCAATTCCTTGATAATTTTAATTTATTTAGATTATAGTAAATATTCTTTTGAAATGTTGGTTTTTGTTTTTTATTTTAACTTTATTTTTTTTATAAATTAAAATCAATATATCACAAGAATTAATATTAAAATTGCATCAAATAATAATTTTTTCACCTAATAATTTTTAGCTTTAACAATAACGATGGAATTATAAAATGATTTCAATGCAAAAAATAAGTCGGAAGGTGAACCAACAGATTTTTTATGCTTCTAAAACTCATAAACTCCTCGAAACAACATTACACCTCATAACTGCACAGTCTTTAATATCATCACTAACTCCAGTTACACAGTTAGAAAGAAAAGGTTTTTGTAAGGAAATGGATAGTTTAAAAGTAATATGTGAAAGACTAAAGTTAGAATTTGGAGATGAGAACATATGTGCTCTATTTACAGTTTAGATACTGAAAAAAATTTGTTAGTAATGATGGATTATTTAAGTGAAGATGAAAAAATTATTGTTACAAGTTAGCCTTAAATGATCAAATATATTGTTGACTTTGATAAAATTAAACTAAAACCTACTTTAAAATGCTTGCTTATATATGTAACATCAGTTAGTTAGCAATAAGCTATTTGGAAGTGGGTTGTTATTATGTATTTTAAACTAAAGTTTCCGATAAAAATGCAAGTCAGAACTGATATTTATAAATCATTAACACCTGTTTTCAAGACAAAGTTTCTTACACTAACATGCTTTGAAATCTTTATAGAATCTCATTAACAAGAGCAAAATGTTACAGTCAGTACAAGAAATATATTACAGCATATAGCCAAAAGTAATACTAAAAAAATCACATGTTAAAAATTTATTGGCTGGCCACTTATAGCGATTGCCTCTTAAGGTCCACTTAGTAACTGTTGAGCAAAATCCCATCAACAGTGAAACTATAAAGGTCCACTGCAAATTTACTACCTAAAACTTATTAGAAAGTTTTAAGATTTTAAAGTAAATCATTATGGTTATATTTTTGGAATAGTTACAGATAGGCTAGTAAGGAAAAAACAAGAAGATTCTATCAAATAGCTAATCATCTATGTCTTTTTCATGGAATTCTTTTTAATTTTATTATTGTAGGCTTAGTGTATCAATTGTAGATGCATATTTTGAACCATAAAAAAGTGTAAACAAATAACTTGCTATAATTGGATACTTTTAAAAAAATAAGTCTTTTATAAAACATTTTACAATTAAAGTTTTATGTTTTATTTCATTTGTTACATTTTTATATATCTTATGTCTACACTTTTATGTCTTAAAACATTTTTATTTTAATCAGTTTATAAAAAATTTTATCAGTTAAAGAAAAATACATGAATTTTAAATAGAAAAAAATATATACAAACAGGAATAATAAAAGTAGTTTATAGGATGTTTTCTTTTTGTACTTTAAATTTTTATTTTTTGTTTTGGATTTAAAGTAGTTTATTTGTTTCATTTTATTTAAAATATTTTTTCATAATAAACTTAAAAAATAAAATTAACGGTTTTTTTTACAGGGTAAAATGTAATGTAACTTATAAATAAAACAGAATGTAACTTATAAATAAAACAGAAAATCATAAAACTTATTTAAAATAAATACTTTTGAATGATTAGCATTTGTAAATTAATTTGAATAAGTTTAAATTTGCAAAATTAGCTAAACAATCTTGCAAATTAGCTAAACAAATCTTGTTTTTACGGCGCTTTAACAGTTTGTTTTCCCTAATCCATAATGGTAGCTATAAAAATCCAATTTGTCACATGACCTCCGACTCCAAGAATTTTCAAGAAGAATTAATGTTGTTTGTTTTTTAAAATAAAAATTTAAATAATTGTTAGTTTGCTATGTATATATATATATGTATTTTCTCTTAGCAAAAATAATTGAGAATAGAAAAATAAAAAAAATTTCTTCTGGAATTTGTCAAAAGGGTGTTGTGTTATTCTTCATTTTAAGGTATCTAAATATGTATTTATTTTTCATTTTTTAGAATAAGTTAGAACTAAATTGACTGGTAAAATAGTTTTTTTAGTACAATGTTTCTTTTTTAAGAAAACAGTTTTGTCGTTAGTCTTTTTAAAACATTTTAAGCAGTATTTGTTTTACTTTTTAGAGCAGTTAAGAGGAGCTGATCGCTTTTTTAGTAAGTTCAAGTTATTTTCTCATACATAAATTAA